TCTCCATTGCTGGACCTCAAAGCCTGACACGGCAAAAATCACCAGTCTCCTTTCTGCAAGTGGGGAGACTGAGGCACGCAACCACACAATGCCCAAGCTGGGAGCGCACAGGCAGGCAGTGAAGAAGCAGTGAGATGAGGCAGGAGCCCTGATTCAGGGTGTGCGAGTGTCCCTGTCCCACCCCGGCAGCTGCGTCTCATGCTAAGGCTGAGGTGCAGCAAATCAACCCCTTTGCCTCTAGATAAAAACCCCAAATTGTCCCTGCAGCTGGGCACCTTGGAGCTTCTCCTCCCTCTGGCAGGAGCAGGTAGATGGGACATAGACTGATCCTGGAGAAAAGGCACCTTCTCTCTGGGCATGAGACCAGCAGGGAATAAAAACCGCGCATATCAGCCCTTGTCTCGCTGCTTCTGGTTGTCAGCACAAGGAGCCTTTGTGTTTACCCAGACTCAAGGGCAATTGCCCGTCACTAACAACACAATATCCCTCGGCCACGCTGCCCTGAGCCCGGCGAGGGAGCAGGACGGAGCCGGTGGGAGGGCAGCGCTGCCAGGGAAGGACAGGCAGCCCCCAGGACGTCAGGACAGAGGTACAAGTCCTGTTGAGCTGGGCTCATGGTCACACGTGGTCGTTGGCCTGAGCTGTGCTGGGGACAGCATCAGGGCCCCCATTCTGGGCTTAGACCCACGAATGAGCAAATGAGCAGCTCAGGCTTGGCTCAGGAAACACCATCGAGGGTCTGATGGCAGCTTTGGGTGCCCAGCGCCTGGGAAGCGAGGTGCACACTCCTGGTGCTGCGTGTGTGGTAGCTGGTACCTCGGCTCCCTGATGGTGACTCAGTTTCCCCATCTGTAAAATCCAGTTTCTTGGATTTTGAACAGTGTCCAGCTCTGAAAGAGGACCCCAACAAGCAGTCACGGTGGGGGCGGTGGAGGGCTTGCTTCCACCGAGCAGGTCTCTGCTGCCGGAGACACAAAGCACAACCACTTTGGGGAAGAAGGTGGCAAAGCTGTTCCCAGGTCCCAAAAGCAGCAGAAATTGGATTCCCTCCATATTCACATGCATCCCCACCATCATGTATTTGCGTTTGATAGTTCTGCAAGTATTCAGGGGATGACTTTTAGACAGTTGCGGTATTTGCACACGGGAAGGACAATTTGCACCCAGTAAGCCTTAGCCCAGCCCAGCTTCCTTCAGCTGTGGTTTGGGGAAGCATTACTTTTGCAGGCAGTATAGAGCACATGATACCAGGCAATCATGGGACACAGGGCGATAAAGGTGGAGTGGTGGCTTGCAAACAACTCAGAACAGTCAGGTGTGTCCATTATAATATTAATTATAATCACATTTAAAGGAAAGTTAACTTCTGCCTCTCCAGGAACTTTAATAGGCCACATTTCTCTTAACATTTTTCTTACCAGCTCCTGGCTGTGTGCTACAAGCTGTGCTCCAGCCAGCCCCTGGAGAGCACACCGCAGAGCCGGGCTGTCATCTCTGCCTTCTGGGGGACTAATTTCTTATGGTTTTAAACCAGAGGCAGAGTGGGCAAAAGAGAAATTGTGGTTCTCATGGTGGCTCTTGCATCCGAAAAAATTGTGTAGTTTGAATGTGTCCTTCAGAGCAGTACCTCCCTTCTTCTTTCCGATAAGTTGTTGGCTGTTTCAGGAATAAATTTATTTGGATGGGGAGGGGGCTGCCCTTAGCAAAGACACACGCTGGCCAAGTGTGACATCTGACCCACGTGGGAGTGAAGGAATAGTCATCCTCAGTGTCTCAAGTGTTAGCACGGACTGAGCATGGTTTGGAGAGATGAGGCTTACAGAAAATAGGGTTAAGGAGTGTTAAAGGCCTAAGAGAAGCCACTAATCCCAGGAACTGGAGAGCTGGAGATTCCATTCAGTGTGCTCACACACAGGGAGCTGCTTTACACATAAATCCTCAGGCCAGATCTGGCACCAGCCAAGCTGTCGTTGAGGCCGATGGACCTTTTTGGCTGGTTCCTCCAGCTGCAGATCCAGCTTGCCGACTCTTTCATTTTTGTGTCATGGTCCCTGTTTTTCTTTATATCCTGAGCACGTAATTAGCTGGCAGGGCTATGATCTGGTCTCTGTTGCATTGGAGTGAATCCAGACTTATACCAACACCTTGACCCTGGGTAGACAGCAAGCACCTGAGCTCAGAGCATGTCCCCAGAGATGGCAGCAGGCAGGGACAGTAACGGTCCTACTGCTTCCCCCAAACAGGGACGAGAGATTTGTCATGGACTACACTCTGGAGACCAGCCAGCAAAAGGAGAAGCTTCTGAAAACTATCTACACCCTCCAGCTGAAGTCAATCACCACACTCCAGACAGCCAGCCCGCTGCTGAGCAGCCAGCGTGGCATGGGCATGGTGACGCAGCACCAAGTCCACCAGCTGGTGGATAAGGCCAAAAGCCTGTGCGGAGATCTGGACAACATTAAGAACCTCCTCCACTATTGCCAGGATGACCTGGTCCGGCAGATCCCCAACCCCACTGGCAGCCGCTATGGGGAAGTAAGCGGAATCCATTGCTCCCTGGATGGCTCCATCTACATGACAGCTGAGAGTGCTCCCTGGGTCCACATCCTCAGCAGCACAGGCCAAACACTGCAGTCCCTGCCCTGCCAGCAAATGGGGAAGGAAAGTGGCACTTTCTTGCCAGAAGATGTGACTGTGACTCGGATGGGAATGGTGGCTGTAGCCGACATGATGAATGGAGCCATCTGGGTCTTCAACCCTCACACCAGCCCCTCCAAGGGGGAATGGATAAAAATCAGACAGGTTGGTTCCCCCAGAGGTATTGGAGTAGACTCCATGGGCAAGATCTTGGTAGCAGACTATGCACAAGGTCAAGTCCACAGCTTTGCTCTGGACCATGCCTTCAAGACATTCAATATCCACTCGGTCCCCAACTTGCAGGGACCTCGCTACGTCAGTCCAGCGCCCAACGGAGGCTTTGTGGTAAGCGAGGAGTGTGGAGACGTCAAGGTCTTCATGAGCAGCCGTAAACTCCTCTGCTCCCTCAGCAGCAAATACGGACACCAGTTTGGCAACCCAGCTGGGGTCTGCGTTGACGTGGATGGCAGCATCCTGGTGGCAGATGAGCAGCGACGGACAGTCCACTTGTTCCCAGAGCATGGGGCTCCTGTCTGCCTGGTGTCCGCAGGGCTGCGGAGGCCTGCTGGCGTGGCTTGTTCTTCCTTCGGGCACCTCTTTGTGGCAGATGCAGGGGAGAACTGTGTAAAAGTCTTTAAGTACTGTGTGAGGCCCCCTTACAGCCCCACCAACCCTGGGGTACCACGTGGTGACCCCAGCCTAACACCCAGGGGGGGAGTGGGGTTGGTTCCACTGCAACCCCGCTGAGTTTTGGGTCTGCTGGTGGGCTGTGAGCTCCACTGCGCCCATAGCTGGGCATTGTCCCCATACTTGACTGCCTTATTGCCCTCCAGCTTCTCCAGATGGCAGAAGCAAGGACTAGACCGAGTTTCTTGGACCCACCAGAGTAGCTAAAGGAGGACTGAGCTACTCAGAATTGGCCACGCGTTGGTGCCTTGGCAAACTTATCACCACTCTCTTGAATCCTTGTGTGGTTTTGCAAAGATAATATAAATACTTCTCTTCCCTGCACACCGTTTTTATGTAGCCATTGTTCCACCTTCACGATGCCAGAGTACGAGTGGTGGGGTAAGGCCAGGCCAGAGCTGGCAGCCGTGGTCTATCTGGCACGCTGGGTTTGCAGCAGACTTCAGGAGAATAGTAAAATAAAGGTAACTCATTCCATGCTGCATTCCTGACCTCTACAGGGAAGCAACAACTACTGCATGGAGGAAATTGCATATGGGCATGTAGAATTACTCACACCAACCCATGTCCTGGGGCTGAGCCTGCCCGGCCGTCCTGTTCTCCCCTTGGAGAGGAGGGCTAAGAAACCACAGCCGTTGCCTTTATCAGCAGAGGCCAGGGAGAAGCTGGCAGGGTGCGGTGGCAGAGGGAAGGGCGTTTTCGTCTCCCCGCTCCAGCCCTCGGCACGGGCACGGTGCTGCACGACTCCTCGGCCTCTGCTGATGTCCAAGACCCGAGTCCAGTCACCACCTCCCACCGCAAACAAGCCCCAGAGAGGACCCTTTCTTCTTCCTGGCCCTAGAACGAGTGCTAAAGACCACGGACACCCTGCGGTGCCCTCCCAGACCCCCTCTCCCTGCAGAGCGAGGCAGCCCCAGGAGCGAGCCCAGCCGCAGGGAGGGACTCCGTGCACTTTGCAGGAACAAGGATAAGCCTGTCCCATCCCCTCCCTTCATTTGAGCTCCCAGAAAAAACGCATCTTCCCCCCCACCTTATTTCCAATCCTGCGGCTCCCAACAAAAAAAATCCAACCCCTTTTCTCTAGCCCGCCCCTGTGGGGCCTGCACCCTCCACCTCCGCACCCACTCTCCCCTTCCATGCGGGACCCCCTCCGGCTGCCCAGCGTCCTCCCGGCACCCCCGCGGCCCCAACCCACTGCCGGCTCCCAGGAGGGAAGCTCCCGGACACCGGCATCTGCACCCACGGGCCTCTGCCAGGCCGGGGACCCGCTGAGGTGGCAGCGATGACGGGGTCCCGTGAGGAAAGGCAGGTCCCTGGCCTCTGGGGATGGGGTGGGGGGGGGACAACGGGGTCCCACGAGGGAAGGCGAGTCCCTGCCCTCGCCCCAGGCCCGGGTGGGTGATGGCGTGCCTGAGGGCTGGGCGAGCTGGCGCTCCTTATCGGCCGGCTCAGCCGGGGCCCCGCCGCCTCTCTCTCTCTCGGCCCCTGGGAAGGCGTTGGGGCGAGCCTCCGGTGAGCAGCGCTGCCGGGGAAGCCGCGGCAGACCCCCCTCCCCCCCCGCCGCGGCGGCTCCGGGCCCCTCTCCAGGCTGCTGGGGGACGCGGCCTTAAAAACCAAGCGGGGAACGGTGGAGGGCGGGCGGAACGCGGGAGCCCGGTTGCCGGCGCCGGCCGGGCCCGCCGCGGTGCACAGCCCGGCGCCAGCGGCGTCTCCGAGCAACCGGTCCCCGGAAGCGGCCGGTCTGGCGAAGCGGGCGGTAGGCGGCAGCGGCGGGGCG